ACTACTACTACTACTACTACTACTACTACTACTACTACTACTACTACCCCAACCATCCTCAGTGGGCTAGAATATTTTTTTGATTCCCTTTTTATTTTTTTGTTGATCCCCGTTGAATATTTTTTTTGATCCTATTTTTTTATTTTGATCCCGTACCCCCCAGGTGGGCTGATGACATGGATATTCAATCTGTTGTAAAGCCGGAAGTTTGAACATTTGATACAAAGGCTTTGGCCCCCAGAAGCGAAGTCTACTGAAATCTGTGACAATGCCTTAAAGACTCTGCGAGATCGATCATTCACCCTAGGGCTCCAATCGTCCCATATCCTCAGGTTTGGTGCTATTCGACCCCCCTGGCACCAGTCCCAGTCCCACCGAACCGAAGCGGAGGTCGTTGGGAGCCCGAACGGGTCAATTTGTGAGCCGCCATGAGCAGGTTCTTGCAGATGTCAAGAAATATGCCTCAGAGGTTGTGGAGGCCGCGAGACGGGTGGACACACATCAATCTGTGATCAAGCACATCAATCCACGGACGAGTGTTTGGCACATCACCGCAACGCCACGCGGTGGTTTTGGCGGAACTGGTGGGGAACTGACACCAGGAGACCGACTAGTTCACCTACTGACGTGAGGTCGTTTGCGGCAAATGGTGGACCAAAGCTCCAGGTCTTGACCCATTCACACCGCTGGAACTTGCGACAAATGCCCAACACGGAGGTGAGCCTTCCAACGGTGACGCTGCAACCGTTGGCTGTGGCTGGAGACCCTATAGAAAGATCCTATTTATAGGTTCAACACCTTGGACACGCCCGGGAAACTCAGGCAGCAGATCGATCATGATCTATCTACCCATAATTAGATCTAACGGGTCCCTGAAAGTGGGTGATCCAACATGGAAGGGTCCCATGACTGGCGGTCACCAAGAAGGTGGTGAGGGCAACAAAAATCATTTGCATCGACGGTCCGACTGTCCTACCCAGGAGAAAGTGGATATATAATCGTTATATGGTGTCTAAGCAAGAACAGGTGGAAGGTTACTTACGACATTGCAAGCATCTGACTTGCAGCGGCGGGGGTAACAGCTAACAAAAGTTCGGTGAACTTGACTTTATTTTCCAGGGATCTCCGGCTTGGGAGTCTTTCTTGTTTGTTTGTTTGTTTTTCTGTACTTGGCTTTCCCGACATGCCAATCAGCCTGAGGCGGAATCCAGAGAATTGCGGTCGAGCCTCAAGCAGAGCTCAGAGGCGTTGTGTGGGTCCTTTTCGCGCTGAAAATGGACATCCCGAGGATGAGTCCGTTCACCAAGAGTTGCCGGATCCCAAATCGAGGGAATCCCCTTTAAACGGACATCACGGACTCTTCCATCGAAATAAAGTCACTTTTACTGATTGTATGATTGTATGTTTGTAATTGTGGTGGTCTCAAAGTGGCTTTGGCTTGAACTCTTCTGGTCTCCCGTTAACGTTCAACAAGAATTGCTTGTGCTGTCGCACTTGGTGGCGAACATGGCCATGGCACATCTCTTGTGGAGTGAAAGTTTCAGCCGTCATCTAAACCTCTTCCCGCAGGCCGCGGAACACCAGCTGAACGCCATCAACTTAGCAGTTGGCAGCATGTGAGCTCCAAGCATGTCCAGTTGACTAAGTGGGAAGACAGGTCTTCCACCGATTTCGTCCAACCACCCTAACCGGCCCGGCCCGGCCTTCGAGGCCAAAGGCCCGTGTTTTCAGGGGCGCAACCTCGGGATCGGAAGGCATCAGGTGTGAGGTATGTAAAAATTAGGCAAACATGTTTAAGCCCACCTTGAAAACCGTTGAGTTTTTGCTCGTTCTTTCTTTCTTTCTTTCTTTCTTTCTGTCTGTCTGTCTGTCTTTCTCTCTCTCTCTCTCTTTTTGACTCTTTGTCTCTTTCTATGTTCCGCCCCTTTTTTCGAGTGTCCTTTCAGGCATCTAGTTGTTTCCTATCTTTGGGTTGCATGATTTTCGTTGCAGAAAGCTCTTGCATGAGGAACGCTTCAGAAGCTTCTCAGATCGACTGCTTGAAGAATCAGGTGGGAATGTTTGATTCGAGTGCTTCCACCATTTGGAGCAAGACACTTCCACAAGACCAGGAAAGGAGGGACATTGCGAGACCACACAAGCGAGATTAAGAAAATGAAGCATCAATGAGTGGATTGGCCTTGCTGTTCAAGCGACTCCTCTTTCCGGCTTCCTGACATACAGGGAACAATAAGAATAAACAATAAACAGTCTTTGGGGCTTCCAAACTTGTTAAGACTACTTCAGAGCTTGGAAATAGCTGGTCAAGGTGGTGCTTCAGTAGGTTCAACAGGTGGTGCTTTGCCATGCCCAACCTGAAAGCACTGAACACAAGCTGCCCGCTTTGCACCAAACTCGCCGTGCCTGTTAAAGCCTGTCTCAAGTTAAAGGTCAAAAACTGGTGAAGATGTTGGAGTTTTGGGGGTTGACCATCATGCTTTATATAAAGCAACTGGGTTTGGTGTCATGTGTTCATGTTTGCCTTTGGGAGGTAATTTTTGCTTCCGCACCATCTCGCCCACTGGAAGCGGCCTAGCACCAAGCCAGGAACCAGCCATCCTGAAGGCGGCCGAAAGGCTGAAAATCGGCCGTTCCGGCGTTCCGTGGGATTCACTGGTCTATCGCCCAGACACGAGTAGTCTGGGACTGGCATAGGACTGCCGCCCCAGGCCCACCCCTGGTGCCATGCCGGGGTCAATGTATATATATATATATATGACAGACGTCGGTCGTGTTTGGGGATCTATTTTGGGGTCTGTATAGAAGTCCGGTATTGGATCGGAGGATTGGTCTCTGGAAAGAGTTGTGCCCTGCCTTATATAGTTTTTCTCCCTCACCTTACCTAAACTGCGGAAGCTTCCTTTCATTTTATCCATGTTTTTTCGGAAAAGCTGAGTATGTGTGGTAAAAAGGATCCAAACAGATTCACGTCTTCGGAAACAGATTCTTTTGAGGCGGAAACCCACCCACCCACGCCGCGATTCGCTCCATCTTCACTCCTTTCCGACCACGGCAGGTTGGTGACACTCAGCTGCTGAGGAAGATGACCAACAGGACGGAGCGGCTCGTGGTGGCGGACGGACTCGAGACGGAACGAGACCGGGGCCTCGGAACGGTGAGCTCAGAGTTCTGGACCAATGCGTTCGATGTGGCCGCCGAAGCCGGCGATGAAATCATGGAACTCATATGGGAACCCGGTTTGTTGGCTGGCACACGAGATGGATGGCATGTAGTACGAGATGGACGGTTTGCTCAAAAAGAAGTGTATACACGGAAGAAATGTGCAGGCGAAACCACCAAAATCCCGATTCTGCAGGCCAAATCGATTGTGTTATATGCTTTTATAAGGATGACAATTTAGAGAAAAGTCGAGGGATGCCGGTTGGATCAGAATCTGTTTCAGCTGTGGAGTAAAAACGAGCCTGTTTCAGATGTCAGCATTCGATGGTACTTTCACTTGGCAAGCAACTTTCACTTCAACAAGAACATCTACCAGGACCTTCCAAGGGGTGACCAATGGAAGCCCCACACTACTTATAGGGTTATAGTTGAGGATTGTTAGGCCCGACCTCAGGTCTCCATTTGTCGGAGGCTCCTGATACAGTGATCTTCGCTTATAACATCTTATAACAGCTGCATCTTATTATACCTGTTTTGGCAGTGCATGTTGTTTGATGTTCCTCGGTGAGGATGACGGACTTTGAAGCCCAAGTCTCTTCACAGCTTCAGGCAGGGGTGATAGCTGGCAGCTGGTAGGGAAGGATGTAACGATGTTTGGCGCTGGGTCACGAACGAAGGGAGGTCAAGCTACATGGTGCACCAGGGCTTCGTGTTTTGACCCATCGAGAGCGAGCGACATGACGTGCGTGGTGTGAGAATGGGGTGCCGTTGTGTCACACTGGAACTGTGTGACAAACAGCACTGGAGGACGAACACACCGAATTGGTGTAATGGTTTGCGGATCTTTCAGAAACCCGTCCCTGCAGAGACATTGTCGAGTCGAACCGAACCATAGACTTGAACCCACGGTCGAAAGGGAAGTGGATTTCACCACGGCCCCGAGTTCGGAGGACCATGTTCCTCGTGGTTTCAGGGGCAGTTCGTGAGTGGTTCACGTCCAGTTCGGATTGAAATGCTCAAAAGGTAGGCCTCCCAGGCAACACCCCAGGTCTTTCAGGCCTCTACGACCCAAGGCCTTGGCTCAAGATGTGGAGAAGAAGATCTCGTTCATGGGTTCACAGCCACTTGGCGTCTCAGTTCATGCGCTCAGGGAGGGAGAACAACCCTTGGGCATCGACTGGTAGGACTGAACCAAGAGTGTCGCCCCGACCCCCAAACCGCCCCAAGGTTGGCAAATGTGGACCATCAATGACCATCTCTATATATATATATATATATTGGCAAATCGAGCCGTTTTGGCCCAGTGAATGTTTTGCAATAGAAATTACAGCACTCTCAGGTGCCACTGTGACCCAGCTTCATGAGGAGGAATGGGGCTGCATGGTGGAGAGTGGAAAACATGTTAGTGATCTGAAGAAACTTCTGGCCGATCGGGTTGGATACTCAAGATTCCGCCAGAGACTCTTGAGTGAAGACATGGGCGAGCTTCCGGATGACATGCTGCTCAGACAAATACCAAGTGTGCAGTTGGTAGTCCTGGACTTTGCCGCGCCTGAGGGTACCATTTGGGAGGATTTACGCCTTGCATGTTTGAACAATCGAGTTGTTGAAGTTACAGAGCTGTTGCAGAAACCACTGGATCCCAATCCCAGAGCAGACTCAGACATCGACATCAAGCCTCCACCTTTGCTACTTGCAGCAGCTCGGGGCCACTTGGAAGTAGTGCGGCTGTTCGGCTGTTAATCGAGGCTGGAGCTGACACGAATGCGACAGACAGACATGGGACAACCACTTTGATGGCTGCAGCTCAAGGTGGCCACTGGGAAGTGGTGCGGTTGTTACTCGAGGCTGGAGCTGACACGAATGCAGTAACTGATTATGGGGCAACCGCTTTGATGGCTGCAGCTCAAGGTAACCACTTGGAAGTGGTGCAGTTGTTACTCGAGGCTGGAGCTGACCCGAATGCGAAAGACGACAGATTGACAACCGCTTTGATTGCTGCAGCTGAAGGTGGCTACTTGGAAGTGGTGCAGTTGTTACTCGAGGCTGGAGCTGACACGAATGCGAGAGACGAAAGTGATGCATCCGCTTTGATTGCTGCAACTGAAAATGGCCACTTGGAAGTGGTGCAGTTGTTACTCGAGGCTGCAGCTGACACGAATGCGAGAGACGAAAGTGAGGCATCCGCTTGCTGCAGCTCGAAATGGCCACTTGGAAGTGGCGCGGCTGTTACTCGAGGCTGGAGCTGACCCGAATGGGAAAGACGCGTGTGAGGCATCCGCTTTGATTGCTGCAGCTCATCGTGGCCACTTGGAAGTGGTACAGCTGTTACTCGAGGCTGCAGCTGACACGAATGCGAGAAACGCGTGTGAGGTAACCGCTTTGTGGGATGCAGCTCATTGTGGCCACTTGGAAGTGGCGCGGCTGTTACTCGAGGCTGGAGCTGACCCGAATGCGAAAGACCATTGTGAGGCACCCGCTTTGATTGCTGCAGCTCAAAATGGCCACTTGGAAGTGGTGCGGTTGTTGCTCAAGGCTGCAGCTGACACGAATGCGACAGACAGACAGGGGGCAACCGCTTTGATGACTGCAGCTCGCAATGGCTACTTGGAAGTGTTGTTGGTGGCGCAAAGGGGCTTGTTCTCCTTGTCACAAGAAGAAAGCACCGCCAAATGGCAGGTGTTTCACTTGTGAAGAAGGGCACGGCACGGTCGACCACTCGATCAGCGCGGTTTCGTGTGAAGACTCTCGATCCATGGCGATCCCAAGGTGATCTCCTTGGGGCAACAACAAAGGGTGTAGGTCAGGTCTTGCTCATCCTTTTTGGGGGGGCTGAGCTCAAGAATTTGGGTATTGGACGCTCGGTTGAACTCCTCTTGGGATTGGTTCGCTCATCGAAACTGATCTCACCACCCACATTCACCCACCATGAAGACCTGAGGCGCTATGGTGGGGAAACAGGCGCAGAGCAGCCGAAGTTGCCTGGTGAATTCAGAGATGACTGAAAGTAGATAGAGCTAAGAGAGAGAGAGAGAGAGGTGGAGGTGGAGGTGGAGGTAGAGATGAAGAGAATGGTTCAGAAATGGCAAGCTGCCAGACTGCAACAGTTTCATATTGCAGTTCTTTCATTATTTGTATGATATATAATATATATACATGTAGTTTTTTGGTGTATATAGTGAGATTGAAGTTCCAGCAGCTTTAACTTGCATGGTGGAAACAGAGTTGTGGGGCGTGAAGTGAATATCCCAAGAAGTTGTGTTGCAACGCTCCGTTTCCCTCGAAATCTTGGAAGCAAATCATTGGTGCGACTTCTGCAAGGAAGCTTCCCCCCGCCCTCAGAGGGGGGGGAGCTTCCTTGCAGGAGCGTGAGGCACCAAGTGACCTCGTGACTACGCCAGCTCGGAGACCTCTCCTCCGGTTTCGACCCGTGACCCGACCGCAGCTCCTGGAATGGACAGCTTGTCGCATGAGTTGGATACCGTGAAGTATGACTTGAGTGAGCTGAAGGAGAACGGATTTGAGGTTCATGAGCTGAGTTTCCTTCATTGGAATGAAAGCAGCGCGTTGGAAGAAAGCCAGCTGTATCGGTCCGTGTGGCGAATGCAGGATGTTTGGTTGTAACGCTTTGAAGCTGCTTCGCTCAAGACGGGGCAAAGGCTCAGACATGCTCATACCTTTTTTTGTTTTTCCACCAAAAACAACTTTTCAGGGTGGCACTTTGGAAGCACCATTGAATATACTGTAGTGAAAGCATATGATAGCTCACAATCGAGCAACTTGATGGATGTTGACAACTGCACCGACACGTCAGCGCACTCCTACAACCTTGCCATCACCAGGTGGCCATCACACACATCCACAGCCTTCCACACGGCCGTGCCCTTCCTTCCTTTCCGGCCCTTCACGCACCGACCACCCAACGTTCCGAAGGACCTCCTGCATGCGACCAAGAGCGATTCGTCGCAAGTGAAGCGGATCGTCCTTTCCTGCGAACGAGACATGGAGGCGGATGGGATCACGGAGGTGAAAACAGCAGGCGGAGGAGCTCCGCTGCTGTTTTCTGGGCCCGGAAAAACGGCGGTTCATCTATCCGTTCTTCTATGCTGACAAAGAAGAAACTGCTTTTTTGGGGGGAATTGGTTTTGATCTTCACGTGTTGGCCATTCATGAAGGAGTTGATGCAAGAGACACCTCCAATTGTAGGATGCTGCAGTTGTCCTCGAAGTCTATATCCACTTCGAGGTGGAACGAATCAAGTGTTTGTTGTTTTTATTATGCCTTTAAGTTGGTTTGGCCTCAGATTTGGGCGCCACAGTCACATGATAGCACCGGAAAGCTGCGGTCGGAAGATTAAATTTCAACATGTGATTGCATGGCAGAGTACGGCAATTTACAGCCAACCCCAAATAGATAGAGATAGACATGATGATTGGTAGAAACACGTATAGAAATATATAGGAACCATCTAGAAAAAAGGTTTTTATTCTTTTTCAGGGGAATGCACCTTTTTTACGGTACAATATGGGGTCACTATATCCCATACACTCCATGGGACTGGCATAGGATTGCCGCCCCAGACCCCCGACTTCCACCACCCGCCGTTTCTCGGCAGTGCCGGACTGGCTGGCAGGACTTCACGGCGGCCATGGACGCGGTGAACGTCGACCTGGACGAGATGCGGGCACGGGTGGATTCCACCCATTCGATCATCACCTCCCGCCAGAGAGTGGAGGCTGGGGTGGGGCTGGGGAAGCGGGAGTTCGTCTTGGGAGTTCGTGTTCTCTTCTTTTTGGCAGTTTGGGTGAAGAGAAGGTCTCACCTGGAGGGGGAATTTATGGGAGTTTGATGGGAAGGGTTGCTCGATCGTCTCGCTTGTTGGTAGCAAGAAGCTTTGGAGACAATACATATTCAATGAATTGGGCAGGTACATTTTGCTTAATTGGTCCTTGGATGTCCTTGGTGTAGTTTGTGTTGATGCAGTTGTGTTGTTGATACTCCATAGCTTTTCAGTTGGAGAGACGCTATCTCAGTGATTTTTTGCAGATGAGGTAGTTGGTAGCTTGACTCTGGCTCATTCCCCAAGAGCGTCAAGGCGGACCCTTGGAGCGTGGAGTGTAGGCTTCATAGGGGTCGTACGGTACTTGTGTTTGTACCCTCAAAGCATCTCAATGTTCCATTTCTATACATTTCTGAGCAATCTCAGGTGGCGGATGTTCTCTCTACCTTGACGCTACACTGCAGTAGCTGCGATCCGCTTAACTAAATGATTCCCCCTTGTGTTTGGCATGATTGTGTTGTTCTTCCTTCAACCATTTCTTCCTTGCGACGGCTGGCAGCACCTTAGGCCACGGTCACTGCCGAGATCTCCACCATGCGTTTGGACATGGGAGATATGCAGGCCGCCGACGGAAGCAGTGAGGGAGCGTCGGGGGTCATGGCAACGCTGGGTGGTTCCGGAGCAGTTTCCCGAAGATGAACCAGACGCCCCTTGGGCGGAAATCCGAAGAGACCTGGTCTCCGCTCGTTTCCGGGCTCCTTTGGGTGTCCTCCACCTTTGGGTGTCGGAGCAGCGGTGCGGGCTGTGAGTTCATGGCACTTCTGACGCCAAACCATTGGGAGGTTGACATCCCTTCTGCATCTGTAAGGATCTGGTGGATCTGTTACATTTTCTGGTGGATCTGTTACATGTTCTGGGGTCAAGCAAGGCACCCAGGTTTTGACCGCAGGAAGATTTGATAAGATTTGGGGAACAATCACGGTGTTTGCCTGGACCTGGTGCATTTTGTAGCGCACATGCCAGGTCCTCCACTGCTATACTGTGATGTTGGAATATTTTTTTGACAGGGCTTCAGGTGGTTGCAAGATGTTTGGCAAAAGTCAATGCTGTGCAAGTTTGTTCATCCACCAAAGGTCTCACAGAACCCCAGGAAGCGTTGAAGGCGCATGATGCCTGGATGGAGGCGGGATCAGAGCTGCTGAGCCGGTGTGTGCGATCGGTGGAGCCGTAAGTCTGAAGGCAGTGGATCCATGGGGCGATGCTGGTGTTGCGGATGTGTTTTATGTTCTCTTTTTTTGGTCACTTAGATGGATGGAACGCACAATCTGTTGGATTAAAGACATTTAAAGAATGAGGCGGATCCAGCCACAGCATTCCACGTTCCTCAAGTGTTTTTTTTCTAGAGATTCCCATGCAATCCACCAACAACCTTGTCCTCTAAAGTCCAAAAGACTCATTTTGCGGCCTATGGTGGCGGAATATACTCCCGGGGCAAAATGAGTCATGGGATCTAAGGGGATCAAACGTTCAAAGACGGGGCCGTTCCTTTTTGGGGAAACTTGCTGATCAATGCCCAGTCAGCAAAAGGGATCGGAAGTTCAGAAAGGTTCTTTTCGTGTGTTGTTGCCACTTAGTGTTGTTTTTGGATGAACCACCTCTGGGTCAGAGACCGGCAGCCAGCTGGCTGGATAGACTGGTTTACGACCATGCCAGACCGCCATGGGCGAAGGGCGCATTGAAGTGGATCTCCATAGCTCTCCATACTGTACAGAGCCCACAGCCCCTTACGTGGTGGTTGAGTGGTTGAGTTCAGTTTGCCAGAAGGCCAGTTGAGTGGTTGAGTTCTGTGGTTGTGTGGTTGGTTGAGTGGTTGAGTGGTTGGAGTGAATCCGAGGTGGAGGCAGAGGTGAACGTTGATTTCGCACAGTTTTCGATAGGACCGAAACGCGAAGGACCTCGGTGTGTTGTTTGGAGACTCCGGGTTGGGTCGACTGGTCTATTTCCTGAACCCAGGATGTCTTCCATAAACTTCACCCATATGTGGCTCGGGGTGATCTATCCCCCTTTCCAGTTCGACGAATCGCACATGGCGGAAAGAGAGAAGGCGCCAAAAGGAAGATCGAACATGGAGTTTTCCGTGCTCATCGACCCGACTTCAAGTACGAAACATGGGAACACGACCCGAACCAAAACAAACGGTACATACTGGCGCCCCCATGTTCCCAACTACGTACAACTCCTTCCTCACCATGTCTGAGGTGTCCTACATGGTTTTGGTTTTGCTCAGATCCCCCGAGCTTTGGGTCATTTCGGACAGGTACGTCGGACACGTCGGACGTCGACGGAGCACCGGTGACGTCGCCAGGATGTGTCACAGAGCCTCCAAGAGTGTCATGAACGTTGCCAGCAACTCTCAGAGGTGAGACGGGTGAGAGAATGGGCGGCGTTTTCTGAGAAATGAATGGCGATTCAATACATTGGCCGTGCCTTTTTTGTTAAATTTACATCTGATAACATCTGGATATTCCCAGTGAAAATTTCATTGGGCTTTTGATACTTCCCAATAAACACATGGGCCTTTGTTGCGATGTTTTTATGGATCTTCCCAGTGAAAACATTGGGCCTTTTACAACACTTCCTGGATCTTCCCAAGGGCCTAGTTGGTTTGGTCTACTTGGTTCTAGGCCTGTAAGTTCGGCGGATGGGACTCTAAGTCGTTCGGTCACGAAGGGAAGTTCGGCCCTGGTTTGATGGTGTTTGTTCTAGCGAAAAACGATTAACCATGAGCTATATATACATGGGCTGGTAACTGAGATGCAAACTTAGAAGGGGGAATCGCCTTCGGCTTCGGTTCTTTTTCGTGGACCGGAGGGACAGGCATGTTTTTTTCTCGCCATTTTGGTCAGTGATGCACTGCAATGGGAGCAGTCAGAAGAAGTGTTTGTTAGTCGTGTTTGTTTTCTTAATTGAGCATCTAAACATACTTCATTGTAACATAGTGTAAACTGGTCCAATTGAGAATGTTCAGCACTATTCTGCAAGCTTCTTTGTGGAACAGAAACTCAATTCCACATGTGACGCCAGGACATCAATCATCAAGCACAAGAGACCCAGGCGCGAGCGCGTGAGCGGCAGGCAGTCTTTTTACTGGAAGAGGGTGGACCCGGAACCTGTTTTTACAAATTGAGAGACATGCAGATGACACGTTAAAGCATGTTAAATGTTGTGTGATGTCAATGATGTTTTATCAAACCTTCCACCTTCCCGCTTATTTGATGCAGCCTGGTTTTGCCAATCATGGCCCACTCTTGGGAGGTCAAGTTGGATGCCAAGACGGACATCACCGCTTGGAACGACATGATGCTTGGCTGAACACATGTTCGGGCGAGGCGAGCTACTGGATGGCCAGAAGATGCCAAGAGTGCATGGTTTGTTTTCCGAAGACGAGCTATGTATTTGGCCCAGTCTTTCAAACACACTTAAGTTCAGAAATGTCACATGAATGCACAAATTAAACAATAGGTGTTGAAGGGCGATCATTTAACACCGACAAGTGGCATGCTGACATGTGGCTACATCCGGATAAAGAGAAGTTCATGTCCCCTGGGTCTCCCAGTACCTTCTGAGGAGGTACTGGTCGTAGAACTGGAGCCCTAAAATAATTTAGACCACCGGACCACTATCCACCGCAGTATACCGGTCCGCACAGTACACCGGTCGGCGCAGTAGACTCCGGTTTATGGTGGCAGCACGAAGCACAGGTTGCTAGGACTCCATCCACCAGCCAAAGGGAACGAAAAGCGGCTAATCCTGGAACCCATTGTGGTTTCCCTAGCGAGTACGTGCAGAACGTCCAGAGCCTTTTTGGGATCATTGGGGACAATCTCCGACTCATGTTTTCAGGAACAGGTGCAGGAGAGGACTCGTTGTTGGCGGAACTCTCTTGTCACCTCCAACGCGGACGCCCTGGGCGGAACGCCCTGGGGCGGTCGGCGGGGAGGCAACTGACCTCGTCGTCCGGACGCAAGGAACGATGACATCGATGCGTCCATCAAGACGGCAGGACACCCCAGGACGACCGGTCGACGATCAAGCGGACGTGAGGACGAGAGACCTGGCTTTTCCTTTGACCAGTAGCAGTCAGTACACTAATGCAAAAGAATGCAAAAGATAATTGCATATTGTTACTAACAATCATCACTATTGCTCCTAATAAGATATGAGGTGGTTGAAAAAGGGTCAATGTAGGCATATATGCAAGTCCCATGGAGTGTCGTGGCAGGTTGTTGGTCGCCTGATCTCAGATAGTTCTTTTCTTGGATATTAATCTATCTATTTCCCATAGCCGCACAGCCCTATTTTTAATCTAGGCATTTAAATCACCCACACAAATGAGGTCTGGTTGTTTGTTGCGATGTGTCTTCTCAGATGTCTCAAGCAAAGGAAAAACACGAGGTTTCATGCCGAGTCATTAATTCATATAAAGAAAGAACATCTGCAAAGAGAACGCGCTTCTTGCCATGCAAAGAACATCTGGAAACTCTTTTCACCAAACCATTGTCAGGGTTGAATCCGTGCCCTTCGCTCCCGACTCCAAAAGCACCCAGATCACTGATCCTGCCATTGGGTTGCAAGCTAAGTACAACGCACAAGCCATCTGTTTCAGTGTGGACCGAGGGGCCCTGAAAGGTCGAGACTGGCCCTGATGTTAACGTTATGCTCTTGTAAGTCCATAGACCTCTAAACTGCCCGCAGCTGACATAGTGGACTGCTAGACTAGGCTTTGGCCGGTGTTTCTATCTATTTCAAAACAGGATGATGGTTTCTGTTGAACAGCTGAAAACTGACTGTTCAGCGTACACTTTAACAAGACTTTAATTCTTGCTCTCATGGACTCTCATGTTCAGTTCCCTCAGTTCTTTTCTCTTCTCTTGATCCTCCCTTTGAAAGGTGTTCTCTTCCAAACAGGGTAACTCAACTTCCCGGCTCGAACTACTTGTTCAGCGCGCCTGGCCGCGAAGCCGACGCCGAAACCACCGTCACCACCTCCCGATGCTGGAGACCGGGCTACGTAGCGTTGCGGGGCGCGGGGCTACGTGGCGTTGCAGGTCCAGCAGGTCATTTCCCCGTGGACGGACGCGCCTGACGCGTGACGCGTGACGCGCACGACGCGTGACGCGCACGATGCGTGACGCGCCGCACACGTGAGACTCCACCGAGGTGCGGGACATGGCCAGTGCCTTGCGCTTGGAGGTGGACAGTCGACGCCACAAGGTGGACCAGGCGCTGTCCATCGACCGAACGCGCGGGGCGCCTCCGGTCGTGATGAGCGTGGCGCTCCGGAGAGGGGGACGGGAAACGAGAGGGGGAGGGGAGTGACATGCTGGATGTTTGATTTGGGGGTGATGTTGTCCAAACTAGCTCAGCAAGAGGATGTGGATGTGCTATGGCGCTACATGGTGCTGGGGCTTCAGGTTTTGATACTGTGATGTTTCTTTTCAAGCGACTTTGTGATGGTCAACAGACTGTTTGTTGCAGTTGGCCCGGACTTGTGAAAGCATGGTCGAATCATGTGGAAATCGAAGGGGAGTGGTCGTTGCTCTTAGATCTTGTGGGATGGCTCCTGCGGCGTTATATGATGTGTTCTTTTCTGGCGATCAGCAACTGGGGATGTTTGGATTATTTGGGGATGCTTAATAATACATGTTAATACCTGAAGTTGAGTGGAATGTCATCCATGGATGACAGTCCAGGATAAGTGGACAGATATTTTAACAAGCATGTTGAATCATATATGATGTCCTCCCGCTTCAAGATCCTCTTGCAAAGCGCAGGCCCTGGCTGCCTTTCGTGAAGATGTCAAGAGGTTGGACGAGAAGGCTGGACGGTTTTCATGTTGGAGCGACGGAGTTTTCCTGAACACAAGGCTAGAAAGTCCGATGATTTCCTGACACCTTTGGCGAACAAACTGGGTGAATTTATTCTTAATTCGCTTTATTTTTGGGCTGGTTTAGGAAGGCAGAGTGGACATGATGCATCTTCTCTGTGGACATTGTCAGCCCATGAAAAAAGGCCGCCACGGGGAGAGCTGTGCATCCAGCCTGCGCATTTGGCAGGCTGAATCGAACCTGGTGAGCTTGACACGTGCAGCTGAGGAGTCCATGGCCGCCTGGAAGCTCAGTAGATCTTCGCATGACGTGATGCAGCTTGGGTCCTTATATTATATTATATATATATTATGTATAATACCGGGGGATTTGGAAGAAATCCTGTCGCCACATGTTGAAGATCATTTGCAATTTCATTTGCATTATGTGCTGAGCGGAATGTCTAACAGTGGCGAACCAATGGGTACCACTGGGATGGGTTCATCAGCAGTTTGCATGATCTAACATCTAACCTGTCAAACGCCTTTCTTGGTTGGCCATGGTGAGAGAATGAGCTGCTGGTAGAGAATATGATATGAAACAGAAACTATGCTCATCCCCAGAGATTGTCTCGAGATGGCACTTGGAAGAACCACTAAGGTACCGAACTATTTGTGAACCGGTTTTCTCAGCTCCTCAGCTCTCCCAGCTATTTCATGCCTGCCAGCAGCTTGCAGGCAGTGAACCAGTGTTTGGAGGACGGGTCGCGGGTGATCGACTCTAGTCACGTCGTGAGACAGTCAGACATGACCGAAGCCCTTTTGGGCGCCATCGAAGCCGAAGAACGACCTACCTTTGGCAAGATTTGATCATGTTTGATCCTACCCGTGGGCTCCCTGGCCGTATGGTCAGAAAATACGTTGCAACACTTGTTTGAGAATGGGTTTTCCCACACAGTTCGCTGAAACGGGTGGGACAGTTCGCTGAACCGGGAGTCTTTGTCCAAAGATTTTTGACTCCGGCATCGGGAATCTTCTTCTTTTACCAAGACACTCCATCGACTTCATAGGAGTATATATTTGCTGATTTGTTCGGGGTTCCTTCTGGGGTCGCATGTATGGCAGTCTCACCCGGTTCTGTCTAGGGTAATAGATGTTCTCTGGGTTCCATGACCTCTATTTGTCGGTCCACAAGAACATTATGAGAGATGTCGGCCTGCAACCCAACCATCATCATCCACTGACTCCAGGGAATGGGATACACCCCAAATACCTGGAGTCCACCTGGACGTACCTTAGAACATGGGGCCCCAGTCGTTTTTTTTTTTCTCGGGTCGTGATGTCCTGAACTCTGTGGAGTACGAAAGAAAAATCGTAAAAACAGGCTAAAACAATGGTTGCTCCGCAGGAGCGGCAACAGCATAGTCAAGAGCTGGAAGCGACTTTGAGCTGCCGTCCTCAGTGGTGATGCGAGGTGTTTATATTGGGTGTTGGGTCGAGCAGGGAGCACCTTAAGAACATCATCGATTGCCATTGCCATTGCAGAAGTCAGGCAAGAGGGTCTCTGACCGTTTTTGGAGTGGAAGTGGTGAGTTGAAACAAACACATCGCATTACTGTAGAAGGTTATCAATCACACCACACCCTGTGATTCTATGGGCAACAATTATTATATGTTATAAGTTATAGGTGATATACCAGGACACCCCAAGGGGCTTCTATTGATAGCCCCTTAGATGTTAAGGGGTGTCCATGAACCACCCCTTGCGGGTCCTGATATATCACAATCAAAATGTAGATAATGGCATGCAATGGCTCAACAGAATGGTGCTCCTCAAAACCCTGTGGTGAAGTTGCACACACGATGAGGATGTTCGAGTCCCATTGTTTGAGCCACATCCACTGTCACATCCACCCTGAAGCTGTTTGGCAAACTTTGTATAGATCAGCCCCATCCGTGCCCCGATGAACCTATGCAATTCGGAGAGAGAAGCAGTAGAGCAGTGTTTCTTGACAACTGGTCTTTCAACCATCCCCGGGACCGGGTCCCCCTCTGGTAGGTTCAGTTTGACATCACCGATCGTTCCCTTCATGAAACATGGACCATCCTGGACCACTGTGAAAGAAACCACCACTCAGAATTGCCTCATCCTTCGGCACTCATCCTTCGATGCGGAACCTTTGCATTCGCTGCGTCGTTCACGCGTCTCTCTCCTGCGCGATCGCCGTTCGCCCAGATCGCCATGCCGATGTGCACGCGCAGATGAACACGAAGGCGAGAAGCAAAAGCAGCCAGAAACCATGAACCCAGTCCCAGTCACAAAGACATGGTTATGGCGCTAGCTTGAGATCCTTTACATAATAAGTGGTTGGGACGGTGGAAGTTCCGCATCCATTTCTGGCTGTTGAGGTTTGCAGCTGACCGTTGATCCAGCGATCCTTTGGGTTAACCGAACTTTGGAGTCCCATCCAGTGACCTGAAAGCAGGCCAGTTTGTGACCTCAAACCAACCAGGGGATGAAAAAGAACACGGTGACTTGTGCCTCTCGGCACACATAGCGCCCTTACCCGTGCAAAAAAAAACCAGAACAATCGGATCATATCGGTTCATTTCTTTCCACGCATGCCGTGCCCAATGAGTATGTCGCCTTTCAAGAGATAGCAGAGACCGCTGGGAGAGGATCTCGTTGTTTGGAACCTAGATCACGTTGATTATACCAATGAAAACCCCTTTATTGCATCTAGGGCAAATGGATTCTGACTCACAGCTGTGTTGAGGTATTGGAGTTAGACATCATTTGAATCCAAGCCTGACTGGTGCTCCAGTCGCTGGAGCGACTTGTGCCAGGTCGATAGTCACAAAGAGGAGTTGGAGAATCGAATCAGTGCCTCGAATGAGTCCACGGCACAACACGTTGCCTGTTTAATGTATAAAAGTATCAGAATGGGTGGTGAACTTGGAGGATATGTGTTAAATGTTTTAAGAACATCCACGATGGGGCGGAAAAACCATGGAAAAAAAACACATTTCCGGACCCCTTTGGAACCCTAGGCCGGGCTCTCGATGTTTACGACGCTGTACTACTATATATATATATACGAAATAACTGCAGTACTATGAACATCTATACAAGTGTGATCATATGACTGACTATGAAGATAGTTATAGAGGAAGATCTATGCAATCTATGCAAGTGTTATTAGAATCTAGGTGGAGTCTATGAAGATCTATCAGGTGTTATGAAGATCTATACATCCTGTGAAGATCGATACTCTCCCTGAAACTATCATGAAAGTGGAAAAGCCCCCTAGGCCCTCGGAAAGGGTGACCACAAGTGGCCATGCCATCCACTTCCACCATGCGACGCGTTCCAGGGAGTGTCTTCGTCTGTTGGATTCCGAAACGCACCCAGGTCATCTTCAGGCCTCGCTCTCAAAGCAGGTCGACGGCCAAGACTGACTGACTGGTACACACCCAAAACACGACCAGAGAACCGTGAGGAAAGGAAAAGAACATGTGTGAGCCGCTTGAAATGGATCTCGATTAAGTACTTGTTGCAGTGAGAAAAGGGTATGATATGCCAGACCTGAGTCTCTTTGAATATGTTGCAACAAATTCTTTCTTTGGAAGCCTATTTCGAAGCAGATGTTCCAATATGATCCAATATGTAGACGCTGCCTTGGCCATCCGAAAAACTTTGCATATTCAGATATATTCAGCATGTTCAAGATATAAAACTGATTTGTGAGACTGATAGTAGCATTAACATTTTCCAATTTCTCCATCCTGGCAGGATGAAGACCTGCATAAGGAAGCAAATGATCGGATCGAAAGCCTTGAGCGGCATCATTCCAATGTCTCCAAGGAGAATACCAGTGGATCATGATCAATCTGTTCGCCGCAGTGCATAAGCTAGGCGACCAAAACATGACAGGTATTGTGTTAGTGTTCTGTGTCCTGACAGCAGTGGCTAATTACCTTGAGAGCGAGCCCAACGGCGGCCGTGGCCAGAAACACCGCCCATGGCTGTAGGTGTAGTGAGCGTGAGCTTTACGCATATCCCTATATATATATGCGAACGAACTGCTCGGACATGGCTTTTTCCAAGAAACCCTAGGG